GCACGGTGAAAACAAACTTGCCTTTTTTACATCTGTCCCATGTGATTGGAGGCATCTCCCATCCCAGGGTGGGGTCCCGCCAGGGAAAGCGGAGGAGGATCTGAAGAGACTTTCTCTTCTTCCCTTCTTTTCAGACACGCTGCTTTAGGATTCAGATTTCTTTCTGTTGAATTGAAGCAAAAGGCCATTTCAAATACATTTTGATACCGGATCGGACCGTTCATTGCATGGGCATGTAAAATAATTCATCGTCAGTTATTCGTTCCGGTCCCGCTACGGGAACATAGCGGGCCGACGCGGAGGACGCAGCTGGGTCAGGCGACGCGCTGAAGGCAGTACGACCCCGGACGCAAGCTCTGCGAACGCCTCCGCGCACCGGAGCGCTTTGCTAACGAGCGGCCGAGCTTAATATTGAACTCGGATCTCGCTAAAGAACGTAAAACATGCCGAGGCTGCCGAGGGCCTGTGCCAGCATCCCCGGTGCCACGGGGGAACGCAAGCCCCCCGGGTGCTCGGAGACGCCCGGCTGGCCCTGGGTGCCAAGGGCTAAGTCTCACCCCTCTCCCTGGCACCACGCCAGGCTTTCCCCACCCAGAACGGTGTGTTTGGCGTGGCCGAAGCCCAGGAGGGAGGTGAGGAGGTAGAAGAGGTGGCACACTGACCTCTGACTTGCTGCTCTAAGCTGAGGATGACGGCCACAGCCTGGTGTAAGATCAGGAGCTTGGTCTGGGGCTTGTCGCTCTTCAGATGGAGCTGCACCATCCGGCCCAACTCCTTGAAAGCCTCGTTGATGTCGCGGACGCGCAGGCGCTCCCGAGCGTTGTTGGCCATTCTCCTTTCCTTTTCCCTCTCGGCCTTCTGCTCCGGTGTCAGGTCTTCGTCATCGTTATTGCTGGGAGACAAAAGGAGTACATCATTTTCTAATGGTGTGGGAAATAGGTAGTACAAAGATTTTCAACAGGCTTCATCCAAAACCAGGATACAATTCATGAGCAGACACCCTCTGAGCCTTTCTTATTTGCTGCTCCTCTTCCACAAACCGGCGCAAAATTCAGTCTCCTTAAATTTTACACTGAGTAAAGCCTCGGTTTGAAAGGAAGCTTTACATCCTGCGAGGCAGGACTTCCGATATTTTAAAGCAGCAGACATACGGCTTTTTTTCAATAACACTTTATCACAGCCAATACCGCAACGTCTGAAGTCGTGGCAAATCTCCACTTATTGTCACCCTTTAACCCCGAAGGACGCGGTGGTGGCTATCCGCGCTGCTCCCGCTCTGCTGCCCGCGCCTGCGCCCCGGGAACGAGGAGCTTGTCCCCAGCCAGCGAGGGGACCTCTCCCTCTCTCACTGGTGCTAGCACCCAAGTCACACGGGCTCCGGCCTCCCACCAGTAGCTTCCAAGCCAGGATGACAGCCGCGCACTTACACACCCTCCTTTCAGCAGACTGTCATTCCGGTTTTGGAAGAAACTTTCTCCACCACCGAGGGTGAGGATCCGCCACCCTCCCGAGCAGTGGCAAGCCACGGGCAGCGGGTGTGGGCGGCACCCCAGTCCCTGCACGGAGCACGGGGCACCGAAACGCCCGTGGGCAAAGAGCCACGGAAGTAATTTATGGCTGAAGAGCCCTACGGTGAACTTCTGCATCCTTTCTGCGACAAAACTGCTTTCTACCCAGATAAAATGATGATTTTAAATTGAAAACACATCCACTGGTGAGTCACTGGCACTATATAATTTGAATTGGTTATGCAAATGCAGTAATAAATTTTCCGCAGCCCTAACAACATGGATTTAGACATATAACTAAATATCAGGAGTAACCTTTTAAAGCTGCAAGCAAGTTAAAAGCAAAAACGTTAGCCTGCAATAGCTTCAAAGCACATATAAATATGCATAAGCGACAGCGTATTTGTTGAATTAGCAGGAACTACCATCACCTCACATCAGCATAAAGGTGCTTTCTTCTTACCATATCGTAAACGCACATGAAAACCTCACTTGTACATACGGTTACTTCAACACATTTATTCAGAGAAAATCTCGAGTGTCAAATATTTTCTCCAGTTGTAAGAGACGTGAATGTAATTAATGTTTTAAACATCGGCGAGCGCTGGCCTGGGAGGTCCGAGCCTCCGCGCTCTCTCGGAGGCAGCACGTCTGCCCAGACGCTTCCTACCTCGGCTCGGTTTTTACACAGAGAACCAGGCGTGGAAGGAGAAAAGGCAGAAGGACGCTGCCATCCATCTTTAAGAAAATCCCCTGAACAGAGCAGGCTTGTGCCTGGATTTCGGCTTCACTGGGATTTTTGCTACGATGACGAGTACCGGCAGTCCCGAGCTGTACCTCGGGCCCTGTGGTGACATGCAGGCGAGGCAGGTGAAGCTCAAGGGACAGAAGTGAAGCCTGTCCCTTGCTCAGGCTCACGTCTGCAGCACCCACAGACGCTGCTCACGTTCACCGTGGGCATGAGTTCCCCGATGATACAATGCAGCTACGACTTTGCTACTATTTCCCAAAAACTTATAAAGAATATGCCAACCAAGTAAAGACCTCTAAACCCTCCGCTTAAACCTAGGGAGCCCTAGAGCTTTACAGAAATTGAGGACTGGGAATGACACATTTATTTCAGAGGTAGAAGAAAAGCATACGGTTTGTTAGTTCAGATGCAGGTGTGATCAGCTCTTAGGCACATCTTTAGAGAGATGAAAATCCATACTGTATTCCAATTTGCAAGCGCAGGCAGAGAGGAATAACAGCCCAATTCATACACTTTAGCGTAACGCAATTTCTTTACAGATTGTGGAGAACTTGCTCAGTGTCCAAATCAGTGAATTGTTTGAATTTGAGGACGTCCTGGAGTACAGGCACCAGAAAGGTACTCGGTACGGCCAGAACAGCCATGCCGTTCCACTTAGGCTGTGGTTTTACCTGCCAGGAAAAAACCTCATAGTTTCCTCCTGTTCTGTTCACTTCATCGAAATCCAGTAAAGGAATTAAATGAAGCGACACTATTATATACTGTTACCTAGATCTTGACCTAGTAATTGATTTGATATCCTTCTTGTCATCCTCTAGTTTCTTGTCCTCAGAAGACTTTGTGTCCTGGAGGTTTTCATCTCCCTCGTCGTCAGATTTGATTTCGGAGCTACCCGAAGAGACGCTCTGCCCTTGCAGTCCGGTTGGCATGCCTGCGAGAAAACACACGGACGAGCTGTCAAGCCGTGCTTAAGCCAACGCCTGAATGGTCCCGGTCTGCGCCCTCCGTCCCCAGTGAAGGGCGACCCGCGGCGCAGCCCCAGCTCAGCGCCGCAGAGCCGGGCGTGGGCGCGGCAGCTCCTGAGAGCGGGGCTTCGAGGGCTAGCTCTGCTCCTCTGCCTTCAGGAACAGCTGAGGGCTCATGCTCTACAGAACATCAGCTACGTCAGCGAAACGGCACCGGAGACCGTCATCGCAGGAACCACGCGCCTCGCTCTGAGCGGGGAGCTGGCACGTGCACCGGCCCTTACCCTGAGCTGCTTCTGCAGGCAAGGATTTAGGGAGAAAGCAAGACTTTGAACTCCTTGAGCAAATTTGATTCCTATGGCTGAAGGAGTTCTGCACGCTCACTACCTGTTAGCAGACGACATTATCTGCTTTTTACAAAACGGACAGAGCTTGTGATCTTGCCCAGACCTGCGTTTCCAGCTGCTCGGTAGCCGTGGAAGGGGGCACAGATGCCTACCTGCTACTCCTGTTCTTCAATCACTACATAACTTTTCCTTCACCTTAAAAATAAAAAAATTTTTAATATGCTGTTCTGAAAATAATGAAAATACCTCAGCTGCAGTGAATAGGCAGGACCTTGTAAGGCATCGTAATAGTTTGGGCTTGCTCTTCTGTGCTTTAACGGGAAGATCAGCTGCCTCTAAGAAGAACGACAAGCCCCCGATGTCCTCTGGGTTCGCTTAGCTCCAGGCAGAGGAGCCTGCCAGGCTTCGGGCAGTGCAGCATCTCGTAGACAAGGAGAGGCTCCCGGTGCTGCCCTGCCCGCGGGCCGAATTGTAAAGGTGGTGGAAAATCTGCGGGGCTAAGCCTCACCTTAAACTCAGGCCCGTTTGATGTGCCTGCTGCAGTGTTTTCTACGCTCTTAATTTTGTGCTTGAAACAGTCCTGGTCTCAAGACTTGCCGTCCAGAGGTAAGCTGCTCACACACTTCTGTTGTAATAGCTGGAGCACTTCAGAGCGCGGAGCTGAATCAGCGAACAGGCTCTGCCCTGCCGTCCCGCCTGCGCCCTGCA